ATGATTGATCTTACCTCTTCCGTCTGGGCTGGGCGACTGTTACACTCGGTGATTACTCTGATAGCAAAAATTCTTGACATCTTGAGGGCTGGAAAAGCCTGAAATGAAGGCTTGCCATGTGGATATTTTTTGAAATGCGAGAATGAAAATGGTTTGCGACTTTAAAACTTTTGCAGTTTTGAAAGAAGTGACAACTGAAGTAGGTTTTCCCATGATGGAGGCAGACTGCTTTTCATGGTTGTTTAACAAGAGTATGTTCATGTACATGTACATGTACCAAGAATGGAATCAGGTAAGACATAACCTCGCTTTACATCGTTATCTCAAAGTTTCAGAGATTAAATAATGAACATTTGGCTTTTCATAACTTTCGGTTAGTGTGTTCCACTACAATTACCCCTTAAAATCGCCTTACAATAACTTACCTGTCGTCTGGGTACCATGCCCTCTTTGTTATTATTACTAGTAATATGTAAATTATTCATGTATCGATTTTATTGGCTTTTCCCCTCTCCCAATTTTCGTTCCCAGTCTCTGAGTGGTTGTTTTCTTATAACTGAATATTCAGTGTTTAAATGCCAACTTTGGACGCGTCAGCACGTGCCCGACGTGCGGCACGCAAGGAAAAACGAAAGAGTTTCCCGCGTGTTGTTTCATCATCATTTTCTACTCCGGCCGGAGCTCCAGAGATCGCGCGCAAGCTGCAGAGCCAGCGTGGGTTGGGCAGCTGATCATTTTGGACAGGGAATCGCATCGTTAGCTTAGGCTGAAAGGTAAGTGTTCAAATATTACGAATATGATCCCGATTATTTCATGATATGTGAGGCTTTACAGTTCCGTTTTGTACGTGTGCATGTGTGTATGTGCAAATCATGTACATGTACATATTTGCAGAAGCAGGGGAATTTTGTGTGGGTACATGCAGGCCATGAGTTAACATATGGCTGATGCGATACACTGCCACTGAGATCTATTACTCCCATAAGTTTGTAATCTATCCAAGCAGTACGATTGACATGTATGATGTAGCCCATTTGCATTAAGGATTTCTCTTCTGTCAACCTTCAGAATTCGCAGTAGTTGTGGAAATCAGATGTGTCAGACAGATTTTGTGGGTGAAACCTGTGGGTTCTAAATTGTCGGACATGTTTGTGAAACTATAGCGAATCTAGCTACATAATTGAAAAAAGTTGTTTTTAGATGAGAATGAGGTGTGACCTTTAAGAATTCGTGTAATTCACAGGATCTTGTTGGATTTGGAACAGGTTAGAGATAATTATTATCAAAACGTAAATTGTGAACCTTTTCTGTTATTTTTGACTGAATAAATTTTTTGATACATAATAATAATAATTTTTATTCCTCTATGCAAAACTGACTGGCCATCACTTTAATAAATCTTGTAATTGATAGCAGGATATAAGAATTTTAAATGGCATCTAATTATATTTTTACCTTTTTCTTCTGAAAAAAAATGAAGGAAAAAATATGGCAATATCATATCTTTTATCTGATTGTAAAACCATATCAATAATGCCACAGTGTCCTATACACGTTTGTAATCTGAACAAGTTTTTCTGTACAGTTTTATATTTCAGGAGTAATTTCAAATTCGACACAATTTTATTCTTGGACACTTCAATTTGTCCCACTAATAATGTCTGTTTTGACAATATTAACGCAGACAACCTTCAGAATTTATTCAAGGACGGTTGGAATGAGCAAGGCTGCGACCTTTTTTTTAATAAACAGAGCCCCAAGGTTGTAAGTGCGTAATAACTGCTACACAAATATATTGTCGGTGCTAACCTGAATATGACAAGAGACTGGACTTGTACGGATTGCTGGATGCCCCACAGTTTTGCTATTGAACACACTTCAGGGTCCGGTGAACTTGTTATTGCATGTAACTATGGAATACATGTATGTAGTTAGCCCTTTGCCAATGTAAGCTGTGAAGCATGACGTGTGTAGTGCTTTCTAAAGTCGTGAAAATAAAAATTACTTTCGGAAAAGTATGTACTGGAACATTTTTTCTGCATCAGTGTTAAATTTGGAAGCGAAGACAGCATCACATCATGTGCGGAATTTGGGCCATTTTCGGCTGCGACCAGGACTTGTCCAAGCAGTACAAGAGCGCCCTCAAGATCGCGCACCGTGGCCCGGACTCCTTCCGGATTGAGAACATCAACCACTTCGTCAACTGTTGCCTGGCCTTCCACCGATTGGTCATCGTGGACGATGTATATGGCATGCAGCCAATGAGGATCCGAAGCCATCCCCACATCTACGTCCTGTACAATGGGGAGATTTACAACTACCGCACAGTTAGTACCAAAGCCAACTAATAAAGAAGCACTCTTTGAAAGCCCCCGTACCAAAACTGATCTCTGATTTGTGACAAAGTGAACTTGTACTTGGTTACAAATCCTACAAATCACCTTATTTGCACGGAAAGTAGCGCTTCAGCACACAACAGGTTGAATCTAGCGGTATGGCTGCTCCGTATTAACTTAAGATTCATTAATACCTCAGACAGTTTCCCTATTTAGTAATGCACAATGTGACCATGTATTAACATTTGAAAATGCCCGCTGAGATTTGATAATGCTCGCTGCATGAAAAAAAAAACGCTCCGACACCTGGATACAAGAGAGTTTAATCCACCCCTATTGGGACTGGGACTGGAAATCTATCATATATTGACTTCCTTGACTCTGATTGAAAAAAAAGATTATTTATGAATGGGAATAAATATGTACTTGGCTCAGGAGAATGAATGCTGATAATACCCTTTCCTGTGGCTGTCATACATTAAGCAAGGTGAATTTAGTGTCGTCAACAGCTACATTTTTATATTGGCAGTTGCTTTACAACAAACCTGCTTCAGCTTGAAATTTCTGCTAAGTCTGAACAGTGCCAAAGTTCATCGAGCTGAATAGAAAAGCATTGCTTTGTGATTTCCTTCCAAGCAATAATAAGCAGAGAGCCAGTCTCGAGTAAAAAGCTTTGTGTGACATTTTAACCGGTATTTTGCTCTTTGCTAAGCACATACATTCTGTGTTCAGCAGATGAACAAAATCGGTTTCAGATCTTCAGGGTAAAGGGGTAACTTGAGAACTGTGCCTTGACCTCTGGTTGCATAAACGGGGCAATATTTAGCACTTCAGGTCATATTTCTCACAGGTGCAGAAGCAGTTTGACTTCCAGTACCTCACAGAGTGCGACGGGGAGGCCATTATTCACCTGTATGCCCAGGGAGGGGCGGAGTATGCCGCCTCCATGCTGGATGGGGTCTTTGCATTCTGTTTGCTGGACACAGCTGCCAAGAAGGTGAGCCAAATAGCACAAGTCCGCCCTATTTAAGGCTGTAGCTAATTTCCTCATTCGTTCATCTGAGAATTTTTGACTGATAACGATCATGGGAGTTGCTCAGTTCATTTGCAGTGGTGGCATTGTCAAGACCACTTAAGACAATTCCAACACCAGCGAAAGCCCTCCAGGTCTGAATTCATGTCACAAGCTATTCAAAGGACCTGCAATGGAAGCATCCCGGTGTCGTTGTTCTTGTGATTGTCCTATGTATTTTGAATGGGGAAGACTTAGACCTAGCCCTAACTACAAGCTTAGGAAGTAGCCATTCACTTCCAAATGAAATCTTAAGGAAGACACAACAGCGGGATTAAGATTAATTTTTTTTGAAATCGTCATTCTTCAGGTGTTTCTGGGAAGAGACACGTTCGGCATTCGACCCATGTTCAGACTGCTTAAAGATGATGGTCTCCTTGCCCTGTGTTCAGAGGCCAAAGGTCAGCATTTCGAATTCAACTGGTCTGGGATTTATTCAACTGTAGGAACTTATTATTGACTTCTTGATCCTTACTGGTCAAACAAGTATTTGACCCATGTACTCGTCAGACCAGCTCAGGAACGATGATGGCTCAGCTTTTCAAATGCCCCATGCCCCAAGTCAAAAAAAATAGTGGGGTCATTGGTCCCCCAGCTGTTCACAGGAGTATGGCAACTCAGCAGTAATGGCCTAAGGCCATGACCTGCTAGAACTCATACATGGCTATAACTTACACATCCAAGGGAAGTGGCTATGGCTATCAGTTGGTGGCTTCATAGGTGCATGTGTTGTTTTTAGCCACAACCGTGAATGTTGGACACAGCCCTACTGTGGTCATTTAATTAGTGTATTAACTAACCAGAAATTTGATAGTTGTCGCGTGGTTGAAAAGTTTGCATTATTGTTTCCTGTCTGATGCAAACAGGTCTCCTCGGCTTGGCCCACGGAGACAAAGACCATGAAATCGACATCATCCCTTTTCCGCCAGGACACGTCGAGTGCTACGACCTTGCCTCTACAGGCAAAGTAACGCTGACAGAGCGCGTTCAATTCCACAGTGTTGGGGACAAGCCCAAGTGGTCCGACCTCCCAGTGGCTGTGCAGCCAAGTGGTATAAAGCTAACTGCTGTTTCATGTCTGATTTTCTGATGACAAATGAATGATTGATGATGGAAAAAGTTTGATCAAATTTACATTTAGGTCCTATTTTGAAAGCACCGGACATTATCACCAAAATCATATTTATATCACATGGTTTGCGAGGAATTTTTATTTTACACAATAAAGACAAATTTTAGAACAAGAAGTTTTTGTTCATTTTTTGCACTGAAAGTTTTTGTGACTGTTCATATCTTGAAGCTGACGATATCCATGAGAACATTCGACTCTTACTCACTGACGCTGTGCGGAAACGACTGATGACCCACCGTCACATTGGATGTCTTCTGTCTGGTGAGTTGCATGGGAGTTTGGCAGGGGTCAACTTTTTTTAGAGGGGGGCAGGATGGGTATTCAAGGGCACTATTGTCTGAGGGAGGCACACACGTGGTTTGTGTACTGGCTGAAATATCTTCTCTGCCTTGTAATTAAAATAACTTGACGTCAGAACTCCAGTTGAGTCACTTTCGGAGTCATTGAAAATGAATTTTGGCTTCTCTAAACCTCTTTACCATTTCTAGGTGGTCTTGATTCAAGCCTGATAGCTGCCCTCGTGGTCAAGCTGGCCAAGGAATCTGGCATCCATTATCCTATCCAGACCTACTCTATTGGTATGGGGGGAAGTCCCGATATAATGGCTGCCAGAAAGGTACCAGTCGTCTTCTTTTTTTTTTTGGCATATCTTTCGCCGGTTCTAGAGTTCAGGGGGGTCATTATGATCTGCCTCAACCCACTTCACCAGTCCGGTTCGTAAGTGTGACGTCACTTCATTTTAAACCACGCCCACTGCACATGCGATGCACATGGAGTTACATGCATTGATCGCTGTTTACATGGAACCATGGAACCGGAAGTTAACATGCAATTTCAGCGATTGTCCAATGGGAGCCTGCAAATCGTTGCGTGTCCGCCTTTGTGACGAAGTGTCACAGTTGTTGCTTTGCCATGCATTCAGAAATCTTACAGGGCAACGTCTAACTCATCACAGCATACCAATGGATTTTACGCATTGACATCGCAGTGAAACTTTCAGAAATCAGGGTTAATGGTGATAAAATGGACAAATGAACACTTGTTATCCCACAGCCATCTTATTTATTTCCACTAGCTGAATTTTATCCTGCAGCATTAAGCCCTGTTCTAGACGCTCGGCAAACATTCTTCAACTGCTAAACTTTACTCCAAGGCCTGCTGAAAAATAGTTGCAGAAGCCGGACACCTCAAAACTTGGCTCTCATTTGACTATCCAAAATATTGATTACAAACATTAAAGCCCTACGTACAAATAGGGTTGAGGAATTCTTTCTCAATCTGCATACAGCTCATTAGGCTAAAAACGGTTGGTTGGGTTTCTGTCTTGCGGAATTTGTTCTTTTTATAAAGTGCCTTCTGCCAATTTACTGACCACACCTTCCTCTCGCCCTGTTTTTGGACGTAGGTGGCAGCACACATTGGTAGCGAACACCATGAAGTGTCCTTCACTCCAGAAGAAGGGATAGCTGCCCTAGAGGAGGTCATCTATTCCTTGGAAAGCTACGACATCACTACAGTCCGAGCCTCAGTTGGTGAGTTGCGCGTATGTCTTGTATGCAAACAGTGCCCCTAAACGGTGCCCAGCCCTCCAAGAATGCTTGTCAATTATGATTATGGCACGTTTCCCCTTATTTCCCAAGAAAAATAATCCTGGTCATAACCGTGGCGCCGTAATTGAAGATGTGAAGACATCCAGGTGGGTACGTGAACAACTCTCCTGGCCATTTGCACAGATCGTTTGACCCGGCAACCGTTTAGAAACATACCTGATAAATATACTTCTCACAGGTATGTATCTGGTGTCTCGGTACATCCGCAAGGAGACGGACAGGGTGGTGATTTTCTCCGGTGAGGGCTCGGACGAGTTGGCCCAAGGATACATCTACTTCCACCAGCAGCCATCTGCTGAGGAAGGTGATGCGGAGAGCTGCAGGCTCCTCAAGGATTTGTACCTCTATGATGTGCTGCGGGCTGACCGTACAACTGCTGCTCACGGGTGAGACTGTTTACTTGTTCTTATTTTGGGGGTTTTTCGAAAATGCTTTTTCTCTTGGTTGTTAACCCGTTCATACCAGGAGCCGCGGCTTTGTGTAAGGATTAGTGCATACCACACATATAGTCTATTCACCATGCAGCTGCTGGTTCAGTAGGGCTTGCTGCTGGCATATGATGCAAGATATGGGGTGGAGAGCCCCCCCACCTTTGTGTTGGTCATTGTTTGGTCAGAATCTCAGGAATTCTTTACAGGGGCGATGTGTTAGCTAACAGTAGTCTAGAGTGTGTATAGAGATTGGACATGGGGGGTACCCCTCCGCCCCATATCGTGCACGGTATCGTTGCTGGACAGAGCTTTGCGTACTGGGCATACCACAGCCCAGCAGTCACGGTCAAAGAAATCCCAGCATGAAGGGATTAAAACCATCTCTTCTGAGGAACCTTTTCATATACCTTTGTTCTTCACCATTGGCTTCTAGGATTTGTAGTATTTTGCAAGATTTAAACTGGCAAATTGAGCCTGACCACTTTTAGCTTACATTTTTAGGTATGCTTCTTTCAGCTTTTATTTGGATGTGCACCATAGCCAGCATTTGCATTCCAGAGAAGATTTCCTTTGGATCATTCAGGAAAATTTGAACGAAATTGTTGGGATGTCGGTTAGTCGTTGAAACATACTGAGTCCTCACAGTATTCATGCAATGTGTGACGGCTCTTAAGACTACTGAACAAGGTTGTAAGAATGCGCCTATGTTTACCTGGTACCCTCGTTCTCTCCAGCCTTGAGCTTCGCGTACCTTTCCTGGACCACCACATGACCTCCTACTACCTCTCCCTCCCCGCCAACATGCGGTGCCCCCAGCAGGGCATCGAAAAGTATCTCCTGCGCAAGGCCTTCGACGGCCTGGGCCTCCTTCCTGCCGAGATTCTCTGGCGTCCCAAGGAGGCCTTCAGCGATGGTGTGTCGTCGTTGAAGAATTCCTGGATTCAGAGCCTGAAAGAGTTCATTGAACAAGAGGTGCGTGCTGGTTAGACATCAACCGGACAAGTTGCCCGTTGAGGGTGGAGTATTTTCCCTTCAACTCCATCATACTTTTTTACTCTTTACCGAAATAGAAGCACCTAGTCTCTTCCTTTTGCTAAGGATCCTCGGCACCAAAACACCTTTTTAATGAAAAAGCTAGAAAACTGAAAGGGTTTCTCTCTGACTAGATTAAATAGATGGCAAACAATTTGCAAGTCTTTCAAGATCATCAAGCACCCATGTGACATGATATTGTCTGAGCTGTAATACCATCCTTAATCTTTTAAAATCCTCTTAAACCGCCGGGTAGATTTTGATAGACCTGGGTTCGGAATTGTTGTTCGCACCCTCTCATTTTCACACTGCCACTTTCTGCCACTCTGTCTGCCCCCCCCCAGTGTTTATGCTACCACCGCACAGGATCTAAAGACAATTAATGTCAACTAATGACTGACTTCTCTCTTGGCCTGCCCAGGTGGACGACTCCATGCTGGAAACTTCTCCCAAGTTGTTCCCTTTCAACCCACCCAAGACCAAAGAGGCCTTCTACTATCGGCAGATCTTTGAGAAGCATTTTGAGTGCCACTCCAAGTGGATCCCATACACCTGGATGCCAAAATGGTGTGGATACGCAGACGACCCGTCGGCCCGCTCCCTCAAACACTACAAGGAATCTGACGTAGACGAACAGAAGGAGGCCATCAAAGCCTAAACCTGGTTGGTGATCTCCTACTGACCTTTAATATGAAATTTTTAATTGGTAGATCCTCCCACTCTCTCGAATTGCTTCAGTAAGTTAAGTTGCAGTTGATGCAACATTAACGCAGTGGTCCAAGTTTTCTTTCTGTTTGACAGAATCAGCTAAACATTCGCCATACGTATTCAGGTTTAAGTCTTTTGATGTTTTGGGTCTCCAAGTTTTAAAATAAATGACTGAACAACAGATTACATCCATTTTTGATTGGAAGTTACTTCACATTTCGAAATTGTAAATAACATGTCAGGATGTACGGCATACATGTATTCTTTTATTCCATTATTTGAGCAAATATTAGGGCCTATTTAGGTCTGTGAAATTGCACAGTAAATAATATTTCTCAGTCATTTTAAAAAAAAAACCAAGTTGTATTTGTAAGTTGAAGAAATGGTCACAGTACAGTACGATAAACTGTATATTATCCATAAACTTGTTCTTTTCCAATCTCCATCCTGATCTATGGAAGTTATCGCCAAATAATACATTTTTACTCATTCATTCTTGTGGCCAAAGATCTTTTGAAGCCACAGTTTGAAGGAAGAGGTTGAACTATTTTTGCATGAAAGTCTTGGTGCTAATTTAGAGAGCTTTTTGGTGTGGGTGATTTAGTTTTGTGTCCTTATATCTTTTATGTTTTGAAGAGTTTAGAAACTGTTGGACCTCAATGGCCAGTTCTACGGAGCCCGTAAGACTGCATCTGAATTACTTGGCTATGACTTGAAATTACGCACAACTCTGTTGGAACTGGCCTTGGTCACTACCATAGACTCATGTAATTTCAGGCTGTAGCCAAGTAATTCAGACACGGCCGTGTATTTGCAAGATTTGCCATTATGTAGTTTACGAAAACGGGTCACCAGCAGCATAAAAAAAGGCCCGGTGAAATTATCGCTCTTCACTGCTGATTGGCTGTGTCTCAACAGATCTCAGAAGGTGCTGTTCCAGTGTCATAGAAGGGGTACACATGAGTTAAATGTCAACATTCCCAGATCCCAGGATTTAGCCTGGATGGCCCTAGCTTAGAACATAATTTATGCTTACATCTCTTGAGGACGAAACGATTACATGTACATGTTTATATCTCGACAACAACCCAGTGCATATCTCTTGTTTTACCTCTAAGGGCACTCACTCGTTGTAAGTGCCTGCAGGAGCCCCTTCTGTTGGTCTAAAATGACACAGTATTACAATACATGTATATATCTTTGGTTCTTTTAACTTGCCTTGTTATTTTTAACACTTTCACCTTAATATTATTTTTCCGTATGTTTGAAAGTCATATTTACCTCTTGAGGTGCCTATCTCTGTGGCCCCCAAAACAATCATGGGTTCAAACTTCAAATTTTCTCTCATCTGTCCATAGTCTTTGCATACATATGTGGACTTGGATTATTGAAATATAAAGAGGTACTCTAAGTTGTTCAAACGTCCTTTGGCATTAGCCTCAGGACCTGGGTGGAGAAATGGATAACAAGTGCCACTAGTTATTCTATTAAATAGAAACATTGAATTCTTTTTGACCCAAAAGGACTGAAATAAAAGTCCAAACTGAAAAGATATCATTGTTTTCGTTCATATGCACCAAATGTGGATGCGCACTAAAATGTAGTGCATTTAGTAAGCGCTGAAGTTGCCCACCGCATTTTTGTTTTTAGTGATCGTTGGGATCCAGACAAGTTGTTTTTCTGAGCGATGTGGTGGAGTTGAACGTCAGTGGGATAAGTTTTAAGAACGTTTTTGATTTACAGTAGACAGGCAAGATGACAGAAACAAGATCGATGTCGACAGATAGGTCACCTTTTTAATGACAACACACAAGTCATTTTTCTGTCTCACAACTTTGAAGGGTATCCAACAGAATGAGCCTAACAACATGAGTTGGAAGTTGCCAGAGCCACTTTCGGGTTTTAAAGGCCTTGAAAAGAATCTTGCACCACATAAATCAGTGGGAGCGCTCAACACCTTTTGCTCACAGAGTGTCCATGTTCATCAGGATGGCAGACAGAGCGAGACATCCAAAGAAAGAACTCGGTTTGCTCTTTCTGATCCACACTAGAAAAAAAAAATTACCACAGAAAATGACCTTAAGACTCATTTGTAGGATCCAGTCACATGCACAAGTATTTTGAAAGGGATGAATGATATAGATGGAAATATATGAAAATACACACCTGAAAAGAAACCTCTGTCGTTATGACTAAAATGCTTTCGCATAACTAGACTGCATACAAAATTACTGAATATCACAGAATAGAATTATAGTCATCAAGTCTATAAGAATACATTGTGCACTTATGTTAACTCTTGCATGCATCAACAAAATTGATGCAGAAAATTCTATGCAGATTTTTAAAATATTACATTTATTATAAGAGGATATAAAGTTTACATACATGAATACATAAACAAGTGTGAATATTAGATTGGCTATTACAGAATATTACGTTTACATACATGAATGCATACAAAAGTTTGAGTATTACATTTACTATAACA